CGGGGTGGCCCCGGGACACGGGCGCGGGGTGGCGGGGCCGGCACCGCATCCCACGGGCTGGGAGCCACGGCGGAGCCCGGGACAAGGAGGGAGCACGGCCGGCTCCGTGGGCGGAGGGGGAACATCAGGGAGGAAGCCGCGAGGGCAGCCCCGGAGACACCGGGATTGAAGTTGGTCCCTGAGATTTGGAGCCAAGGGTCACTCCTGGGACAAGATGGGACACAGGGACTGAGGGAGGTCACCAGGATGGAGTCCAGGAAAGGACACTGGGACCAAAGGGTGAGGAGTCAGTGTGGAACAGGGTTTGGCCTGCAGGTCCATGATCTGCAGAAGAAGTCAAGCTGTGTTTGCATAGACTCTACTGGAATAGGGTAATGGGCCCTCCAGGAGAGCCACTGGGACACCACCATCCAACCACCATCCGAGGGCAATGTGGGCACCAGTGGGGTGCCTATGCAGGGCTGCTGCAGGCAGGGAGAAGCCTGGGCTGCCTGGGCTGGGAGGGGAAGGTCCTAGGTCAAGGGGGACAGTGTTTGACCCAGGTTTAGATGATGGGCCACCACGTCCCTGCAGGGCAAGAGATCAGCTGGCCCCCAGAAAGGCCTGGGGAGACAATGCTTAGCTGAAAGGCACTGTTTTCTGCTGACTAGGTCCAGAAGTGCCTGGTGGGCCCGTGTCTGCTCTGCTGTCCAGTAAGAACCCCTCCTGGGCCAGGACAGCATGGGCTAGTGGTCAGAGCACCGGGCTGGGAGCAAGGCAGGTTGTTTTGGAGCACTTGGAGGTTCCGCTGCTGACCCCAGAAGCTCCACCCCTCTAATGAGTAACCTTTCTGGTTGCTTTGAAATAGAAATGTCGCGTTATTTAAAAGGCAAAGAGAAAACCTGGAGAAAGGCTGCAAGAAAGCCTGGGAGCTGCAATTTGCTCCCTGCTCAGGTGATTTATTTCCTGGCCTTTAAGCATCGTTACCTCTGAAAGAAAGTGAGATCTTGATACACACAGATGTTTCAGCCTGCTGGAACCACTCACTCTCCCCTAAGAGCAGGGTGTGGGAAACCTGTGGGCTGGCGTCAGCCCAAATCCACAAATAGCTCCAGGGGAGCTCCCAGGAGTGCACGGAGGGCAACATCAGGATTTACTGTGAAACAGGCCAAGAGTGGGTGAGGAGGGACCCTGCCAAGGCCCAGGTGGGCCAGGTAAGAGGTTGCTGCCTTGCAGCCCCATCCCGTCTCCTGGGTTTTGGGCTTATCATATAAGGACATCATAYCATATATATCATATCATATCAGGACATAACATCTAAAGACACTTTTTGCTAGGTAGGGACTCCTCMCTAGCAGGTCACTTTAGTGCTTTCAGAACAGTGAAAGGCATTTTTTTCCCCTTTAAATAGTTGTTCTGCTTCATGTCCTGCCTGCTTGGAATGGTGCCACTCTCTCTTCCACCAAGTCCAGCCACTTTCTCCCTGCTTTATGCACATAAGATTCCTTCAGGGATGTCCCAGCAGGATTCCTGGCTGCTCTTTGGGATGCAGGAGAAAGGAGCTATTCACAGGTACCACCTCATTAAATGGAAAAGAGCCTCCCAGTTCCTCTTTTTACCAGGTGACCAGGACTTGTTGATTCCTGGGTGCAGAAGCTCCTTCTTTGGTCTACGGTCACCTTGGACTGGAGTAGAGGGMCAGGAACTGTCCTTTCCCCTCACCCCCCACTTTCTCTCCCAGTGCAGAGCAGAAGATTGAATTAGGAACGTCTTGGGCTGTTTCCCAGTCCTACTTTTCCACTTGTCTCCATTACACACCGGCTCGAATTGCTGCAGCTCCATGTGGGGCTGTGCATGGTGCTGCCTTTGGGGAGCTGTCCCTGCGGCGCCTGCGTGGGGATGGCCCGGTCAGGGTTGGCTCCGTGGCACACAGATATTGCCCCAGCCTCTTCCACGTGCAGAGCCCTTGCGATTTCTCAGCACGGGGAGAGTCTGGTTCAATGTCCAAGGTAGATGCAATTTATCCTTCTTAGAAGGAAGTGCTGAATTCTTCTGGGCTTACCGGCCACCAGTTGTAAACTGGCCCTGAGCTGGCATGGAGAAATGAAATCTGAAACCASGACCAGGAGGAAGGGAGGGAGTTGGTGTGAGGGAAGAAGCGGGGCTCCCTCCCCTGCCTGGAGGACATGGGCCCACCTGGGAAGAGGTTATTGGCAACGTGCAGCTTGGAGCCCCCCGCGCACCTCCAAGCAGAGCCACTGCCTGGTGCRTGGGCTTGGGGGTGGGTGGCCCTGTCACCTGAGCTGGTGACATGCGAGGCAGAGCGTGACCAAAGCTCAAGCGGGTCTTGCCGTGGCTGTGCCCAATTTACGGCAATCCTGCCCAAAGATCCAGAGGGGTCCCCATGTGCTCGTGGACTCGCAGCTCCTGTCTGCTTTCACTGCAGAGGTGGTGGCCGCCTGCCCCAACCCCCGGGCAGTTCTCACCGTCAATATTTACTCTCTGCTCACCCCTGGGGCTGATGTTTGTGTGCTTGCCCTGAGTCCTGCCCCTTGCTCTCTGGACCCTTCACCGCAGTCTGGCTCTGTTGGCACTGCACGTGCCCCAGGAAGTGTTTTGACTGGGTCTCCTCTGCAGACTTGCCCYTACCCATGCTTGCTGGGCCACGTGGAGAACGCTTTTCTCTCAGCCCTTGGGTATTCCCAAGCCCTTTGCAGCAGTCCCTTCGGCAGCAGTTGCTGGACGTGCTGACCACCTCAGGACCCCAGACTGCAGAGGACCCCATGGCTAGCAGTTGTGTCCTCCCAGATAACAGGGCAAACAGGTAAACCAGTCGCTTTATCTGCTTTTATTGCCTTTATAAAAGACTCACCAAGGCTTGAATAATGCAGACTCCACACAARCACCTTGAGATGGCTGATCCAATCACTCACTGTGTGTGCATCTCTGGTGGGCTGGGATGTGCAAAGGGAGGTGGTATGGGGGCGGGAGGGTAGCGTATAAGGAAGAGTGGCATCTTCTGGTGGCMAAAGAGTTTTTCATCCTGTTCTTTTGGCAGAAAGGTGGCAGGGAAGCTGCCCCTATTCCCCTGTSTCCTGGTGACATTGGCTGGAGCCCCGTCCCAGCGGGAGGGAGGTGGGACTGCATGGGAGGCAGGGGCTGAAAGGGGGATGCTGAAGGGCTTGGAAGTGATTCATTATGGCAGCCTCAGGCAAAGCCTGTTAGTCTGGGCCGCTTCTTGATCTCCCTGCTTACGCTTGCCTCCAATACCCTTTTCTGGCTTCCACACTGTCTGTCAGCAGGGGCTGCTAAACTCCTGGTGACTTGTCCAGTAATGACCTGGAGGGGAAATGCTGTCCCTGCCCGCTCCGTGCTGCATCAGGGATACTCCTGAGACAGGGACATCTGCCAAGCCTAAGGSTGTCCCTGCTGCACTCGGCCAGCTCAGCACGTGGCTCAGCGCCCGGAGCTGGCAAGAGGCAGGTGCTGCTCTGCTCTGGCTCTCCCATCCCTGCCCCAAGGAGCATGTGGAAGGGGAGACAAGCCAAGGGACATGAGCGGGGACAGACCGGAGAGGTATCTGCTGTCCTTCCCCTGCCTTGGAGTTGGGGAAGGATGATAGGCAGAGGCATATTTGAGAGCACGTGAAAGA